CCCGCCTGGGTGAGGCGGGAGGGAGTGTCAGACTCTTACTGACTAAAAACCACCCCGTTCCTTCTCCTGCACGTCGAGCCGGAGCCCCGGTTACCCGTTAGGTTCTCCGCGACTCCGAATCGGCATCGGCCCTATTGGGCCCCATCTGTGGTGGTCTGATGGCTCTTTGAGGCGCGCGCCGTACGCTCGGGTCTGTTTCTGGTCGGACGGGGAGCCACCCATGCTCGCCGTCCGCAGGCCCGCGCTTACGGTGGCCGGAGATCGTCCCGCGATCCCCGACGCCCGGTGTGTTCTTCGCGATGGCTGGGTTGCGAGGAGGCAGCGCTTTGCTGCCTCACGCGTCCCGCCTCCTCCTTAGCTAGCATGACTGCTTCGCAACTGGAACAGCATGACTGCTTCGCAACTGGAACTGGGGTAGATTATGATCGGGAACAATACATAGGCTCCTTTTTATACCCACGGGAGTCGCCACTAGTACCTAATGAATATATTTTTTCGTGTTACCGCGATAAATCCAAGTGACAGTTACGTGTACAGATGCTGTAATTCGACTCTAATATCAATTAGACTTAGTTAATCAATTAGCTTTAATAAAACACCGAACTCTCGTTGTCTAAAAGAATATATTCGAAGATATTTTTTTTTTATTTGATTCATGAACAATTTCTTACAGCATACGGATTTTATTACCTAATAGAAATCTGTGATGTCAGGTTTAATGCACTCAGACGCAAGTTTAATAACATATCAATAATAATAAGAATGCAATCGTTTCATTGTCACGTTTGTTACACAATCACGATATATGAAAATAGAGAGGAGATGACACGACAATGAATTTACACGCGCAGTAGGCCGTAAGCTCTACCCCCAATTATTTTTTTTAATTTTTTTCTCATTCCTTTTTTTATGAGGATACGCCGGTAAACGGGTGGACTGATCACCTGATGGCAAGTAATCGGCGGCGCTTATGGACACCCATCATAGGCGTTGCCAGCATTTTCAGGATTAGGAATTGCGAGGAGTTTTGGGGATTCGGGTACTGGGAAGGGCGATAATTAGCCCTCCAGTAACCTCACTCGCACAATGAATTATAACGCAGGTATTGTTTCACGACCATTTTTTTTATTTCAATTGAACCATATTTTGGTACTTTTGACACGTCAACAAATACAAAATAAATAATAGTCTGTCAGTCAGTCCGTCAGTGAAGCTAGGTGAAGCTAGGTGCTCATTTCAAAATGTAGATT